TTCCAGGGGCCCATGAGGCCACTGATGCCGTTTATAACTTGGACCACGTCGAGTTTCAAGTCGGATTCTATCACGTGGACGGCGACTCTTTCCGTAAGTGGTTCGGGTACTGGTTTGTCGAATTCGACAGGTATGAAGAGTGTGTCCTCGACTGGTTCGCGTCCATTGACACGGGTTACATGAAGGCCGTGGTTGATATGCCCGCGACGTACGGGCTCGCCTTCACGTTCTCTTGGACCCACAGCACGTACGGATTCTACCCGTTGTGTATTTCTGTATCCAGCTCGGGGGATGTTTCTGCTGCGGACTCGGCCGCCTCGGAAGGATTCGAGCTTCTCTCTGATTGCACGTCCTCTAGTGCGGAGGCAGCTTGCGAAGATCCCAGCGTGTCTGGATGCGCAGCGTGGGACATGGAGTGCACCCAGCTGTGTATCTGCGAAAGCGGCGCGAGCGGCTCTGCGTCTCACTGCAGCAAATTCAGCGAAGACGGCTGTGAGAGCACCTACAAGGGGGGCGAGGAATCGTCGGCCAAGGACGAGTGGGACGCGGCGAAGGGCGGCGAGGGTGGTGAGGGCGGTGAGGGCGGTGAGGGCGGCAAGTAGCTCTCTCTCGCATTGGAAGCGACGAGCCGTGAGCGCGACTCCGGCTATCTTCCGCAGTGTATTACGCCGCGATGTTTGATTCCATACGGGTTCCGGGTTTTGAGTGTAGGCTGCCCAACTCACTGCCCCGCTCCCCTGTAAGTCAATACGACTATGCTAAGCCGGTGCCATTTGGAATCGCCCCATATCCCCCGCCTGAACGATAGTATCACTATTACTAAGTGACACTATTTATATTGTCCGGAATGGATGCTGGAACCAATACCCGCGGATATGCATGATGGAAACATTGTTTCCACACGCCTGCTGGAACCAATATGCCTATAAGCAAGATGGAACCAATACCTAATATATATTATCCGGAATGGCATGCTGGAACCAATACCCGCGGATATGCATGATGGAACCAATACATTTATGGAAACGCAGCTAACGCACTAGGAGTCACAACACCTGAAACTCGCGATGATCTGCAAGATCGTTTGAAAAAATCACTTGCCGACCTAGGCGTGCCGATGCTCGAGCCAGCACCTGCTCTTGCTCACGAACCTGAGCCAGAGCCCGAAGCTGCTCCTGCACCCGAGCCTGCACTGGAACCAGCACCTGCTCCTCCTGCTGGGCCAGAGCCCGAACCTGCTCCTGCACCCGAGCCGGCTCCTGAACCGAGGCCCGAGTCACTGAATCCGAGAGACAGTTTTCATCTTTATTCGAAAAAGCAACGCCAGTCCGCTAACTCGATGATCATGGACAACCAAGATGAACCTAAAGAAGCCGCGGAATTATATGAATTCCTTTTCAACAACTACGACAGGAAATCAGCAAAACACGAGATGATGATGATAATGATGAAGCACCTCGCAGGTGCGGGCTTGAATGAATTCGAAATGAAATATTTTAAACCGACCGACTGGGCTGCGGAGCTCAAAGATGCACCTCTACGAACTTTTCTTCCAATTCTTCGTGCCTCGCAGGCAGACGACGATGGC